AGTTGGAAAATTCTGCTGCAAAAGAAAATTAAAAGCCGTAGAATAAACATTTATCCACTCAGAATCGTGTTTCGTATACAATGATAATATATCATTGAATTAAAATTTAATATCATCCATTACTGTAACCCACTTGTAAACTACTTTATAGAAAATCAAAAAACTAAGGATACGTGACTATTTTTTTTTTCAAAAATATTATTTATGATTTTGAATTTGTTTTATTTTAGAAAATTCGTTAATAAGTGCATCACAATACGATTATATAATATTATACGAACCTCCGTAAAAAATATAAAATATTGTCATTACAATGTAATTCCAATTACATTTTTAGAGTAGAAAATAACATTTTGTCTAATATAAAACCATATTGGAATTAAATAAAAAAGCTTAAATCTAATAAACCTACTATTCCTGAAAATATGTCGTATAACAATACTACTGCTAGTAGTTTTGATTAATCCGCTCAATTATTTGCTCAATTTTTTTCCAGTGTGTACTCACTTCCTCCCTCACATAATAACATGAATATATATTATGTCCCTTCAAATTGTAATTATAATTTAAATTTATCTTCTTGGTATATTAGTAAGGAAGAAATTGTCAATACTTTACAGTCAGCAGTCTTGGTCCTGATGGTGTGCCTCCTATTCTATTAATGGAATGTAAAAGTATTATTACTAAACCACTTCACATACTATTCAATTTGTCTCTGTCAACGGGCATCTTTCCAACGTATTGGAAAAAATCGTATATTGTTCCTTTTTTTAAAAGTGGCAATAAAAGTAATGTTAGTAACTATAGACTGATTCCAAATTGTCAATTATCCCAAACTATGTGAGTCTATTATTAATAAAATGCTATCTAAATTATTATCCAATTATATCTGTCCCAACCAACATGGTTTTTGGCCTAAAAAATCCATTTTCACAAACTTACTAATTTATCACACTGATTTAATATCATCTTTTGAAAACGGATGTCAAATAGATACGGTTTATACTTCTTCTTCTTCTTCTTCTTCTCGTATGGCCGACAAAACTCATATACCTACCTATCTCTGACCAATATTTTATAAAATCGATTACTCGATCAGTCAGTGTATTAAACAGATCATTTTTATTTTATATATTATATGGTGCATTCGTGAATTTCAGCAGGTGCTCGTCGTCTTGTATTTCTCCACAGTCAAATCTTGGATTTTCTTCAATGCCCCATTTTACAAGATTTACTTGTGTGCTCGCTTTCCGAGGTCATGAAAGAAAGCTGTGGTGGTACTCCTATTGAAGAATCGTGACAAGAATAAGTCGGACCCCAAGTCTTATAGGCCGATAAGTCTGTTCCCGGTGCTGTCAAATGCACTGGAGTAACTTATCTGCGTGAGGCTTCGGGAGATGATTGATCCGAGGATGACCGATCAACAATTTGGATGTACGATGAATAAGAGTATCAATGATGCAATATTAAGAATGAGAGAGTGGGCTGAAAGCCGGGTTGAGAAGTACGTACTCGGGGTGTTCTTGGACATCTCGGGAGCGTTCGACAATGCCTGGTGGCCGGCAATATTGCATCACATGACCAGATTGGGCGCGACGAGGAGGATGTGTGAGCTACCCGAAGTTATTTAGGGGGTCGATACGCCAGCATCACTGTGCCGGTGGGGAGGAGTGAGCGGAGGCCGTCTAAGGGTTGTCCTCAGGGTTCGCTGTTTGGTCCGGAACTTTGGAAGATCTTCATGAACTCTTTACTGATTCTTGATGGGTCGGGAGAAGAACTATCCATTGGTTACGTGGATGACGCGTTGCTGATGATAGCAGGCCGGACTCGGGCCTAGGTAATATCGGTGCCGACGTCTGGGATCGGATTCGTAGTGACAGTCATTTATTTGACAAAAGTGGTTATTGATCGCATGTTGATCAGGCAAAAATTAACGGTGAGCATTCTCCCCACTGAGAATCTAGCCACTCTGCCGGTGGGAGTATATCACCTGGCGGTTGCTTAAAACATATTAAGTAGCGGGTTGGATAGTGCCGCGGCCTTACCAGTGGTCGACAATGAGAAACGACAAAATCTCGAAGTTGAACTTGTAGCTAGTGAAAAACCTCGCCCGCTCGAGGGGCGTAAAAACTCCACGGACGGTGGAGGTGTCAGGCATTGGGCTTCGTTAATCTATTAATTGCTTCGTTCTTTCCTTTCTGGTGTACAATTCTCTCCTGATTTGAGGTAGGGCAATTCCACTCGTTATGTATAATTTTTGTACTGGAGTAGGTCTCAGGCATCCTGTTATTAGACGGGTCGCTTCATTCAGCGGAATGTCTACTTTTTTTGCATGTGCTGATCAGCTCCCGCTGAAAAACATAATGCTAAAGTGGCGGTCCGTAGGGTGTGAGTGTCTGCCCCCCATTTATTGCCCACAA